AGTCTTGGGCTCCTTACCTTAAGAAGGACATTGAATTGCTGGAAAGGGTTCAGAGAAGGGTTACTAGAATAGTGCCTGGAATGGAGGTGTTGTCATACAACGAGAGGCTGAAATCTCTAAAATTGTTTTCTCTTGAAAAAAGAAGAGTTAGGGGGGTGGGGGTGGATCTGATTGAGGTGTTTAAGATTGTAAAGGGAATTGATAGTATTGATGTATAATATTTTTTATATTTAACAATGAGAATAGTAGGACTAGGGGACACATATACAAATTTTGGTAAGGTAGGAATCATCTTCAGCTAAGACAGTTTTATTTTTCTAACAGAGTGGTTGGCCTTTGGAATGGGTTGCCTTCAGATGTTACAGAGGCAATAAATTTAAGTGAGTTTAAGAAAAAGATGGATAAGTATATGAATGAAAAGGGCTGGGTTTAAAATGTTTTTATTTTATTTTTTTTTATTCATTTTAATTTATATTTGAGGATGGAACAGCCGAGATGGACTAATAGGTCCCATGTTGTCCCAAAATATTATGTTATGTTAATTATACAATGTATGGTAAATAGAATTTCAGTAGTTAACACTTTGCTTGTTTCAAAGGTTTTAGTATAATTTGCTCATAAAGTGAGAATATATATATATATATATCTATCAGAAAGGATACTCTATTTTAGGTTTATATTTCCAATCTTCAACTGTATCATTTGGATTTATTTTAGGTGTTTTTTTTTGTTTACAGATTTTATTAAAGTACAAATAGAAAACATTTTAGGAATCACAAGAGAGACAAATTCACAACATAAAAAGTTAATAACTGGATGTCAAAGCCATGACTGAACACACTCTAGCATATTGGTTACTTTACACTTGGTGTGGTCAACTTCTTAAAGTTAAGAGCCAAAAGGAATTATTTCTAAAACCAACAACAAGAGATAATTTTCAAAAACAGCAGTAAGAAATATTAAGTACCACACTGGAATTTAATTACACCAGTACTGAGTATTTACTGGAGAATGCTACTCTGTCATGTGATACACTTGTATAAATAAACAATCAAAACAAGGGTTACATCCTCAGAAAGTTAAGATTTTCCTAAACTGAAAATGTACTTCACATAATACTTACTTCCACTGACACTATAGCTATTTCTCGATCTCCAGGGTTTCCACTCTTTGCCCATCTAAGCATTAAAAATGCTTGCTCCAGTCTTTTATACCCCACTTGAATGCCCTTGGCAAATTCTAATTTCCAAATTTCTCCACCAACTTCAATGTGCCCTCTATCTAGGTACTGTATCTAATCACCTTATTCATATAATGTAATTACTTTTTCATGACAAAAACTGGCTTTTAGTGGGAAGGTAGGGCAGGAGTGTCAGTGGAGGTAAGTATTATTGTAAATATTATTGTAAATATATTTCAGTTTTAGAAAATGTTAACTTTCAAACATACATACCTTTGCTGACACTATAGTTATATATTATGTTAGCATACTCCTACACCACCCATAAAACTTTCTCCTCAAACATGCATCAATCTGATCAGTGAAATTCAAAATTTCGATTATGACTACATAAAAGTGTTATGAGAAGAAAAAGACTTGTAAACATTTTTATTTCCTTTGATTTCTTAATTTTTCCTGTGAATAACATGAAACATTCAGATGTTGTACAAAACAAAACTGTTGTTACTTAACTAGAATAGTTGATGATGCAACCACCTCACACTGACTGATTTTCAGTTACAACTGAAGTTAACAGATTGGTGTAACAACCAAGGCAAACGTTAAGCATGTTTAAATATGGTTGTCCCATCTTTGAAAGCTGTCAGTGTAAGTCATATACCAGTCATATCATTCAGTTGTAAAAACTGCTATTTTGGCTCAACGAAATGATATAATGGCTAGAAATATCAGAGAATTCACAGAAATAATGAAACACATTAAAAATAATTATTATAGCTTGAATATAGATGAAGGTTTGACAAATCAAAATGTATGCAGATAATGTGATCTTCTTTACATTCAGTATCTAAATTAAGTAGTCACATGACTACTGGCTTTGGTATAAATGGTTTGCATTGTTTTTTATTTTACACTCCTGAGATTGACAGGTAGTGTCTGTTTTGAGACTGCTGGTAGTCTCAGAATAGTTTTTAAAGTGTGTGTATAAAATGTTAATTGTTTGGTTGTTTTAATTATTTATTTACACAATTACCTTAAAATTTATTCTTTTAAGTGAGTTTTTAGTAAACTTTCCAGGTCTGTTGCACACAAAAAAAATCAATTTTTTAATGAAGTATTTTTACTAAATATTCATCTGTGAATTTATGAAACCTTTACTTATTTCTATCTTACAGTTTTCATATTTTATATGTATAACTTCTAGAGCTTCTTAAATGATTATCAAAAGCTTTTCTTTTCGGATATTTATTATCTTTTTTAACCTGAAACTGTAGGAAAACCCTCAATGTTAACATTGAAATGAAAAAGAAGTTGGAAAATATGATTTGTTTGCTTGTCACTATGCATAAAGCTACACAATGGACTATCTGTGCTGTGCCCACCACAGGTATCAAAACCCAATTTTTAGCATTATAAGCCACTAAGGGACTGAAAAATATGAAATAAAATGAATAATACTTTTTTTTTCTTCTTGTCTGAGAGGACAAACCAACCATAATTTTTTTTGTAGTCAAACTTTTACCCAACGAGTACTTCTTTTAGTCACAATAGTCTAAAAGCTGCACAGAGATCTTCCTAACTCTTGACAGAAGAGAACCATGTAAAGTTTGGAGAAATTCAAATGATGAAGGTGGGGGGGGGGGGGTTAGGAGACTGCCTAGACCACCCTTGTAGGGGAGTCTGAGGGGGGAAAATCTTCACCTAAAAATAACTTTCAGAAATTTTGAAGGGTTAAGAAAACCAGTTGAAGTCTTTTCCTCTATTTTGAAATAACTGGTATTAGAGAATAAACTTCACTAAACTAAAAATAGTAATAAATATGATTATGAACTAAGGTTTTGGGAAAAAAAGTTATCACTTTAAAAACTGTGATCAATTAATAATTGTCTAAATTTTTCCAAAAAGCTACAGCAAGTTTGTATGAGAATATAAATTTATAAAAAATTAACACTGCTGTATTGTTAGACATTCAAAAATTGCAGACTGCCTCACTTAATATTATTCACTAACATTAATTCTAAACATACATCTGCTTAAGCCTCACTGTCACAAATTTAACTCAAAAAAATATGACTTCTATAAATAAACAACAGCAGATGGAAAACATTTTCAACTTAAAGTCTTTCAGATATTTATCTAATATACATATCAGATATTTACTACTAACTGTAAAGAGGCACAATCAATATGAGAGGATTGTAAGGTATACTTTCATCAAACACTTTATCATATTGCTTTTATTTCTGCCATATTAGCCTAACATTAGTTTTATGTGAAGTGGATGATATGGTGGGCAAATCCTGCATCAGCAATATACAAGATGATCATATACTTGTCTTGAAAGACTGAGACAGCTGGGAGGGGCTTCTCTAGTAGGTTTGACAAAAGTATTGATATCTCAGCAGACTGAGGAGGTAAGATGTTCATATTGTGTATATTGGCTTGAAATAGATTGTATAGATTGTTTCTAATTGTTTAGACACTCCAAAAGTTATATTACTGAAGATACAAAAACATGACACAGAGAACTGAAAATTGAGAATATTTTTATATTTCCTTTTAAGATTAAGAAATTAAATCCTGGATAATATAAATATTATTATCTGTAATATTACAGTTAATATTATTAACTGTAATTTGATGCCAAGTTTACTGATGTACATTAATAATATAATTGTTTGAACAAGTTCAATGTGACTGTAACTATTCATGACATAGGCACTTTGACTCAGCATATTGAGAATTAAGCTCACATATTTTGGTTCACTTACAAATGTACTTATGTATTATAAGGCCTACCACAGTGATGTTTTAATAAAATAAAAGATATTTCTAATTAATCCAGTAAGACTTTTTTTTGTACCAAAGTGATTTTATATTAATAACAAGATGAAACCGTGGTACAAGCAAAATAGGGTAAGAATATTTTTCATCTTAAATATTTGTTTCAGTAACCAGATATCACTATAGTATTTTTCTATAAGTATAATGCTAATTCTGCTGTTACAAGTATAACACTACTGTTCCTAATGCTACTGCACATACTTTCAAATATATCTCATATTCTGGATGTATGTGAAAAGAATTATGCTTTGTTAAGAGGTAAGGGTAGCTCAGCCTTCATCATTCAGCTACAGATTTTTCATGTCTGCTAACATTTGGTACTTAAGCACAAATGGAAAGAAAATCAGGATTCTATTTCAAATAATATCAAAAATACATACATGTATAAGGCATAAAAGAAAATAATTCAATCATGTTGACAATTTCATGTGATTTCAAAGCTGTTTTTGTTTTATAAAAATGAAATACTACAGAAAGAAAAATTCCTCATCCTCATTTTCTCAGCTTACTGTGATGTTCTTTGAAAAAAAACTTGTTTTGGGATAGTTTCACCTGTAGAGAATTTTTTTTTTCTGTTTTACTGATTATACTTTGATATTGTTAATAAATGCAATTCTTTGGTATCAGAGTTTCTATTTATTAGAACCCAGTAAATAAATAGTATGTAAATTTAATATAATAATTCCTTGAAAAAAAAGAAACTTTTCTTTCAACTACGAAATTTTCCAATATGTCATGTTGCAAATTTTTTAAATAAAAATGTATTTTATTCATAACATTAAAAATGAAAGAATTAATAGAGTATTTCAATCTATAATATTCTAAAATGTAGACCATTTAAAGTTTCCTAAAAATCAATATTTTCAGACATTGTACATAAAGAGATGAGTGCTTTGTTTTTCAAGAGTTTAGTAGTGAACAGTTTTCAAATATTAATTTTTCAAGGAGAAACAATTTCATGCTTTTGATGTTATTTTCTAAAGCAAATATTTTCCTACACCTTTCTATTTGTAACGTACCACAAATGATAAAAAAATTAACTTACTTCCGTTGCTCTTTCAACTTAAGACGCTGTTGCTCCAACTTTTTCACTTGGTCTAGACCTTCATCCTCAGAAGAACTTGAGCTTGAACTGCTAATGAAAATAAGAATGTGGTTTTAACTTACAGAATTTTAATGTTATATATTAACAAAGTTCTCAACATGTGCATTCCAGCAATAAAATGGGTTTCAATAATAACAGAAACATCCTCGCTTGAGAGAAGGTTTAAGTAGAGGACAGCGACCTTAAAGGCATTGTTAATGTACCAAATCCATTTAGGAAGTTTCAGATTATGTTTTGAGCTATTAGTCCAGATCTTCATTAAGTCAAATTGTTCAGACAAATCAGGTAGGAACATGAGAGTTGAAAACAAAAAGTGAAGTGGAATTAAGAGCAACATGATCATGGCTGAAGAAAAGCACCCCCAGTCATGAAGTATTGTGACATTATCACAGTTGACTTGGATTTCAAGCTGTGTGGACATAATGTTCATGTTCTTCTTACAGCAAAGGGGTATAAATAAGATTTTTACTGATTTAAATCTCTTACTACAGAATTGGTCAATTCGACCGAGTTTTTCAGTAAACATTACAAGTCTTTTGTTGGCAAAAAATCATAATGAAGTATTTTTACAAACAATTTCACTATGAATATATGGAGTCAAAGTGTTGACTGCTCAGAGTGTACAGTGATTTTCATGTTAAGATTCAAAATACTTTTGAAATGTTGGAGGGACTGTTGCGAAAGCTACACAGATGAGCACTCTTTGGAAGGTGCCAGAAGAGAGCCCATGGAGTGTGATACCCAAATGTATAAGGTTATACCTGTGGGTGATAGCATCTAATCTGTACCAGGTATACTCTTCAATCATTGTAAAGATATGTGTTGCTAAATAGGGCAGAAGATATGCTAGCCCAAACTGTAATTGGACATGCCAGATGATATAGAGTGGCTATGGCATGTTATGCCATATTTGGTAGGTCAACTCAAGTCTAAAACCAGGCAGCATCGGGTATTTGTCTTCCAGTCGGCAGTAAGAGGAGGGTCCCAACCATTTTCACCTCAAGCTCAGGAAGTAGAAGGGAAAGCAACTTCCATTCTGACAACTCAGGCAGGGCAAATGTGTGCAAATCCTGTATACAATCAACACCATACCATCTAGAAAATAAACATACAGGTGACGGTAGGAAGGGGGAATGCACATGTGGTGGATCAACTCCAGTCTAAAACCAGGCAGCATCGGGTATTTGTCTTCCAGTCGGCAGTAAGAGGAGGGTCCCAACCATTTTCACCTCAAGCTCAGGAAGTAGAAGGGAAAGCAACTTCCATTCTGACAACTCAGGCAGGGCAAATGTGTGCAAATCCTGTATACAATCAACACCAGATCATCCAGAAAATAAACATACAGGTGATGGTAGGAAGGAGGAATGCACATGTGGTGGGTCAACTCCAGTCTAAAACCAGGCGATGTTGGGAATTTTACATCTGGTTTACAGTAGCAGTAGGGTCCCTACCAAAGCCTGTGTGAGGAATTATGTAGGCTGGTCCTATGCCGATACAACATTAGACCACCCGGGAACTGACATCCAGGAAGCAATAGGATGAAGGAAAAACAGCTGCAGAGATGACCTTCACATAAGCATGTTTATGCACAGTCTCCACCCAAGAATCTAGAGTATCAGGGACATCTCCAAAAACCAACTGCCACAAGAAAGGAACCAAGCATAGGTCAAACAGATGAGAAGAAGACATTTGACAAAAGGGTGTTGTTGCAAAGGAGATCCCAACATCAAAGCAATCACGTATAGAGAGACAAAGCTAATGCAGATAAACATGCCAATGTAGAGAAAAGAAGGGCACATGTATCTGCTGAGAACCCCTCAGTGAACAGTAGATAGCTTCAGAAAGGAGGTGGACTGATGAAAAATAATGTATGACAGTCTTTAGGGTAAGACAAAGATGAGAGAACTGAGCAGGGTAAAAGCAAAGGGTAGTAGAAGGACTACGTCCCCACAGCTGAATCAGTGATTCTAAGGTTTGAGAATCATGAAACTGAAACTCCGACCTGTGGTAAGCCAAAGCATGCTAGTCCACTAAATGTGGGGGTCTAGGCATGTTGGCACCCACATGAAGTTGAGGTAAAGAATTGTTCAGAATGGACTCAAATATATGGGGAGGGGAGTAAAACCAAATAATCAGGTGTCAGGCCAGAATGAAGGAAAGAGGGGAAAGAAAAGGTCCAAAGGTCAATAAAACAATGAAATTTAAGTAGAAACAGATATATATATTGTTATGAGCTTTAACCTGTTTAGGATAAACAAATGCAGTTTCCTGTTACAATATAAAGTCATTCTCAAAAGAAAATAAGAATAATTTAGATTTCATATTTTTTTATGCGATACGAGGTCAGTCAAATTTGACAAACCTCATATAGAGTATGGTAGAGAAAATAACAGATAAAATATAAAGTTTTACTGAAAAAAAACGTGAAATTTATTTAGGATGTTTAAGAGATTATGCATATGAAATTTGACAATTTTCAAATGATAAAAGCATTTTTAATCTTCACATGAAAATCACTTTAAATTCGAAGCACTCAACACTCTGACTCCATATGTTGACAGAGAAATGTTTAGTACAAATACTTCATTACAAATTCAGAATTTTTGTCTACAAAAGACTTACAATGTTTATTGAAAGCTTGCAAAATTTCATGAAGATACACAACATATTAAAAGTTACAGTATGGAAACTCTAAAGGTCAATTTCGGGTCATGAACTCAGTCAAATCAACAGAGCCTGTAACAAGAGAGTTAATAAGTTATTGAGCATTCAATGAGTGATTCAGTTCAGTGTTAGCAGTGACACTTATTATGTCAATTATTTAAGAAATTCTGCAAGTTTATTTGTAAATTAGGTGTAGGTAACATTAGTATCACAGTTTCTATTGAAATGTTGTTCATGAACTAAGGCCAAAAAGTTGTTGAAAGTGAACATAGCTTTAAAGCAAACATTACTGAACAAAAAATTCATTCATTAGTGTTACAAAGACTGGTCTTGGCATTATTTCTAGCAAATAATCCAAAAGAGCACATGCAACAATAGAATGTTACAACAATACACACCAAAAAATGCAACTGAAGAAGATCTACATAATAAGTCTGCCATCAAAAAATTATTACATTTTGTATAGATGTTGAAATTGTTATAAACATTAAAAAAAAATCCTATTTGAAACAAATTGTAGCTATGTTTAATGCCTGCCACACAAACCAGCCCAACATTTTGATGTGAATTTAAAACAATGAGTCATTTCAGAAAGGTTTGGGTTGTTTTGATTAAAGAAAAAGGAAGACATTTTGCACTATTTTTGTGGTCTAGGTCACTGGACCAGACACATAACCTGACCCTAAACCATGAGAGCCAACATGAAGAAGTTAACTTGTAAATGTAAAATTATATAACATTTAAACATGCTTGAAATGTTCTAAATGTGGTTGTGAATGTGATGGTTTAAGTGTAGCAAATAAGCTATACCGTTGGTCCAAGCAGGATAAGGGAAGAACTTAATCGAAGATATCTCAATCAATTTCGCATACCAGCTGAATTGGAGATTCATCAATTAATAACTACATTGACAGCAAACATAAAACAAGAGGCACAATAGTATCGTTATATTCAAAGAGGGTGACTGGAATCATAGATGAGAAATCATTCCCTTCAATATTGTGTAAAACTAATGACACAGTAAAGCCCACAGATGCTAAGTTGAAGCAAATGCACAATGCATTACAAGATGATTTCCCTAGCGATTCTCAAGTTAAAAATGACATTTCTGGAATGAAGAGTAAACATAAGAAGAATGATATAATGCCCAGTATGGTACCACCATAGTACAATCCATATGGATTTCATCATGTCCTACTTTTATTAATATTTAGTTTTTTTTCCATTTTAGATATTGTACCAAACTTCATTCATCGAGATCTATCGAAATAACACTAAATCACCAGTTTCAAGAATGTCCCTTTGTTAACCATCCTAAGCTACATATTAAAAGATACTCGGCTAGTTCATGTGGCAGGTGTTAAATACAATATTTATATTCCTAGATTTAAAAAATTTATGTTCTTACCTTGATTTTCTGTTCTTTTTTTCTGAGATAGATTTTGAAGTGTCTCTACTAGAAGATAAAATATTTTTCTTCCTTTTTTGCTCAGTATCAGAATCTGATGATGTGCTGTAATTCAAAAAGAAATGATTTATCAACTAATCTGTTGTTTGGTTTTATTTAAAAAAAAAACAATAATATCTGAACGATGAATTTTAAATAACTTTTATTACAAATAAAATTTTCAAAATACTTTTTACCTTAACTTTTTATACAATCACTTTGTTACAAAAACAAATTCATGCAGCTTATAAAGTAGAATTTCTTCATGTGGACAGTTATATATAAACATAAAACAATACAAGTATTCAAATTTCAGTCAATTAATTCCATCGTATTGTATGTCACAGATTTAATATCATATATCTATTTTAATATCAATGTTTGTTTAAGTTAAATTTATATGCAGAAATGTACATAACTTATACTGTTAAATCTGTATTGTGAACTTCCCACCTATTCACTAAAATTGTAGAAAATTCTCGAGTGTAAGAATCAACAATGTGTGTGTACGTAAACACTGGCGTATCGTTTATATTGTTGCATAAGTTGAAATTTCAAGAAACTCTCCTCATGCCTATAAATATAACCAATGAACTGCACAAAATGACAGTATATATTATTGATTTGCTATAGTTGGTGTGCTATAAACTGTGGAAGCTATAACTGATTGTTATAAAGCTTATTAATTGGGAACTTCAGATATTTGACCAGGAACGTTTATAGATTTCAAATATTAAAAACCATATAACTTCAGCGGATTCACATCGGACATTAGTGTTTTTACACAAACATTATATAACTTCAGCATTGTACAACTCAGCCTGTGTGGCCAGTAAAGAATGAAGAACAGAGCTAACTAGCTCCCCGTTAAGTGTATTGTATCTATATCTACTCAAAATTAATTCAATCATCTTGAACCCTCAATAAGATATCAAGCAAGTTCCAGACCAGATAGAGGACT